TAGCATTTCTACAGAATATTAATGCATGTATCATAGCCCCATTTTTTTTCATAATGTTCATTTTTATAATTCACGTTTAAAGTGAAGGTTTGAACTGCATATAACCAGTAAAAATGCGAATACATATGATAAACAACGAATTTATTTACAAAAAAATAACCGATTTACATCATTTCAAAGATGCACACGCCGCTGGATGCCGCAATAAAAGGGTGAGTACGCCGTGTCAAGGTAGGGTGTGGCAAAACTCTGACTTACTGGTCGGGGCCAAGCACTTATATCGATCGACTTAGATACTATTTTACGGCATTTACTCGGTTAACCATACCGACGACCACACATTAATATCTTCGCCTGTTTCACCCAGGATGTGTCTCATTTCATTTGTAATTAAATAATTAATTACGTATGCAAATAATACGCTGCATCACGCCAACCTAGGCCAACGTGATACATAAACGCGTGTAGTTCTCCACCCCACATCGAAATTGTTTGTTGTCAATTGAATGATGCCTGAAATAATTGAATATTTGAAATAATATAACTTTGAAGTAAAAAAAAGTTACTTAGATATGTAACAAAACAGAAAAGAGTTACTTTGTTGTAGTGTTGCACCCAATGTTTTTTAAGTTAATCCTTTTATACAGAGGGCGTAAGACATACCCAATTTTAAGAATATTTTCCTATGCAAAACATTTATTTGTTCTTTAGAGTATTTTTGAGATAGAAGTTAAAAAAAGTTATACTTCTAAATATATTCTAAATAAATAAGATATTGAAACTAAATCTTGCGAAAGCAGTACAGTAAGTAAAGGTGGTAGCATATGAAGAATGCTGGTTACATTTTCATAAAAAATTATGATATGCCAATGGGAAAAAATCATATGTTCAATGCAAATTTTATTTTAAAAGAGAATGACGACTTTTTCTATGATTTTTACTATTTTCACACATATTAGCAATGTTTACAGACGATACGTATAACTTATTTAATGTTCTCTGTCGGCCCATTCCTCAATACAATTTTCGATGTTCCCTAAGTTTCATAAAGAATCTGCTGACAGTGCTGACCTGACACCGTTTTCAACTTTAACACAGCTAAGTCAAAGGTAAGCGCAAAGCGAGGTGCAAAGGTATTTGCCAGGCTTATAATTTCGGAAATTCGGTGGAAGCTTTTGTAGTTTAGGATGTGACTGCACAATGCACTTCTTGTTTCTACAAATTTTCTTAATTATTTTATCAACACAGTATGTTTTTTTTGTATTAAGTATTTGGTAACATTCTACTGCAAGTAAAGTTTTCTAGGGATACACTACGAGCTATTAGTTGTGTATAATTTTATAAATATTTCGTAAATTTCAACGTTGATCTTGATTTTAAGGGCGGGGAGAGGAGTCCATTACTGAAAACATACAAAAAACAAAAATCTTCGTTTTTGCCTCGGTTTTTGCACTACACTCCAAAGGATAGTCATAAACTGCCGCTCTGCTGCAAAAACCCTTGGAATTCCTTGAAAAATAGCAAATACTGTTTTTTTCTTTTCGTATAACGGCAATTGTTGGTGCATTAGACTATAGTAAAAAAAAATAGGTATATGTATAATATGTATAATAAATGTACAACAGTATAAATTTTAAAGTCCTTAGTAAAGTAGATTCTTCTATTTTACCTCCTAAAAATTTTTCTGAGCCTTTTTAGGCCATGTCTTTGTTATAACCGAGGTTATAACGGTAGTTACTTGTGCAGTTACTCTACAGTGTAGGAAAGTCTAGATGGTCTATCAGAAGTTACGTGAGAGCGATAAAGTAAGCCATAGAAATCCATGTGATAGACAAGGATGGCTATAATGAAGGCGTCTAATAGTCAACGCCCATTTCGCCCTTCCACAAATAAGAAGTGGATCTTATTTGTGGAAGGGCGAAACGGGCGGTGACTAAGAGAAGCCCTCATTATAGCCATCCTTCTCTATCGCATGGATTTATATGGCTTACTTTATCGCTCTCACGTAACTTCAGATAGACCATCGGTACTTTCCTACCCTGTATGTTCAACAGGAAGGTCCAAGGACAAATATTTATTATAAAAAAATTCTTATATTTGGGCATATTAATAGTGTTACATTAGTCATACTTAACACTAAAAGTTAAAAAATGTATGAAGAAACTAGATTTTTGCATATTTTGTTTGTCTTTACCCTCCTACCTACTTTTTTAAGCAAATGAAATTAAAACACCAGTTACTTAATAAAAAATTGAAAAAACTTTATAAACTTATAAAAAATATGTAGATTTGCAGCAGCAAATCTAATTTAGATATTGTTGGAACCCATTTATGTATATTGTCTAGGGGCCTAATTTTTGAAAGTACTTTTTTCATTTTACAAATGTAGAAAAGCGAGCAATAATTCTGTTTTATAAAAAATGTACTTTACATAAATGTTATGCATTTTAAGAAGCAGCTATTCATTTTCACTGTGCAGATTAGCAAGTGTTTTTTGAATATTAATTTTGAAAACAGAAAACAGCCAGAAAAATGAAAAGTAAAAAGCTGAAAAGTACATTAAAAAAATTGGCTCAGGTAAAGCATTTTACCCTAGCACATTTATCTGATTTACTATTTGTTAAATAATTTGAATATTTTGGCACATTTTTGAGAAAACAAATAATACTTAGTATAACGTATAATCATCACGTTCTAAAAAAATTCAACGCATTATAGAAACGTTAATAACGAAGAAAAGGAAATAAAAATTCTACAGGACTGAGATAAATATCGAGATAAATATATTACGTTCTGCGCGATATTTAAGAAAACGATATTTGTTTTTATGTTTTCTTTATGTAAACCATCATCTCGTAATTGGTCTTGTACTGTGGGGTGGCGTAACTAGATAAATAAATAAATGCTTGAGACAGAACAAACAACTGCGACAACTATTTTTATTACGTACACAATATATGTTACAAATTAAAGATCTAAAGTAATTCATAAACAGTTTGTTTGTGAATTGTTTTGATATAAATTTGTTCACTCTTACAATTAGTAATACCTGAATCGGTAATAAATTACAGCAGACTTTTCTCCATCTCTCTGCCTTTTGTTATACTGACATTCAGCTACATATATCTAAGCAAACATTACAATATAAACAATTACAAAAAACAAAACGGAACAGCAAACATTTCCTAGATAAATATATTGAAGGTTATATTAGCTAATTTATTTTTATCATCACAATGACAGCAAAAATAATAAAGAAAATTTTGTTGTAACTACTTTTTTGGTGTAACAACTAACTGTTACGTACGTTTACAAACTGCAGGCATGGAATTAAATAAAAATAGATAATTTGAGTAACTAAGGGTAGGTATTTGTCAATGATGACAAAATACATTGGCGACCTTGACTTGCCTTGTTTTTTACTTTTAATGTCGTGCAAATAAAATTATTTTTATCAACATCAATCATAAACAAAGCCCTTGAGAAAGCCTTGACCCGTCCTAAAGAAGACCCTCCCAACAGGTACTGTGAAAACGATTCCCTAGAGAAAGTTGTTTGGAAGTAGTTTTAACTTGTGCGAGGTTAATGAGGAAAAAATAATTATAATACGTGCAATCCGTTTAAATGGAACATGTCAAAATACTTACTAGAATTTAACTTATTCCGCTTATTCTTATTTTCCATTAATTTTTTTTATATTGATTCCGAATTTTTTTTGTGTTTCAGACAGCCTTACAATACGTAGTTAACTATAATTAAACAAATTTTTATTATCAAATGTCACTACAGGAAAGTTAAGGTTATAATAGGCAAAAACTTATGGTTTGTATAATACCTATTCTTGCAATTAAAGCAATAAGTATTACTGTATATCATACCAACAAGGAAACCGCTGACAAAAATATGTAAGTACAAAAAAATACTCATTTTCTTAATAAATTACTGAAGTATTACTCAGAAATAACAGGAAAGATATTGAGAGGAAAGCTGGCGGCTTCATGACATAAATAAAATATTAAATACCAAAATATGATTCAAATAATACTCACAATCACTATATCAAATATTACTCCTGCGGTTTCCCCTCATGATTACAATAATTATAAGTTTATATTAAATAAAACAATTTGTAAATAGCTTGGTAAAAAATAATTTTACAACATTAACAAAACAAGAGAAATTGGTTTTGCTAACAATAATTATTCTTGGAATAAATCCTATGAATCACTATATTCTACTGAGCTAAATCTTTTGCTTAGTTAATCACAATCACATAAAAACTAATTGTGGATAATGGTAATTTCCATAGCCTTAATAATTCCAGTAATGATAAACTTTATAACATAATTTAAATTAATTAATTAATTATCAAAAGGAAGCTAGAAAGAAACTCAAGCAAAAATACTTGATGTAAAAAAATGAGGAAATACCTATTCTAGGTGCTAACTACAGAAGGACAGAAGAAAATGTAATATAAATAGGGTGGCAGCGAATATTGAACAAAAATGTGAGTAAGTATGCAAATTTAAATTTTTAGCAAATTTCATACCCATGTAACAAATTATCAGCAATTCCATAAGTCACGAACATAATTCTGTCACATTTATAACGAAATAGAATAATAGATACCTATTTAGGTACATTTATAGGTTAAACAAGGTATTTCACATCTACTAACTATACCCAATTAATTAAATGTAATTAAGAGTAAACTGCATTCAAACTTTTAAATAAAATAAAACTTAAAGGTCTATAACAAATAAGTTGTGACTAATGCAATTTAAATTACTACCTATGCAATTATGTAAATATTGAAGAGAAATCGTGTAAACAATTAACTAAACTGTGAGTCATATTTGCCAAAAATCTGTTTTACAGACATTTTTATAATTAATGTATGACAGAATGCCGATGTTAAGCCAATGTAGCAAAAAAATGCACTTACAAAACTCAAAATAAAGCCAGAAATAAGGTATTTTTGACAGCTGATTATAACCCACCTTGCTAGTGGACCACTCCTTTTCGCTCTTTGGCCTAGTATCTTCTCTACGACAGCTGTATTGCCTTTTCTTGCGGCCTCCAGGAGTTCCTGATCTTTCCCCATGGCCCTTTGGTATTCCTTTTATTCATTTATAGCTCATAATTCCACAAAACACTACTTTACACACTCCCGTACTACAATTTCATTGATCGCTGACAGCCATGTTTGACCACTGCGCACCTAGCGGGTACTAGAGATACTATACGACATTGTCATTGCCGATTTCGTTTGTTTTGTCGGCTCACAGTCTCAGCTCTCAGCTGTTTACATTTTTTTTAACTTGGATAATGTAAGGAGAAAATTTATTTACCAGTTATTTTAACGTGTCTATTGAGTGTACGAAAATGAAAAAGTGTGTGAATTTTGTAGTGCTCGCTGTATTATATATTTCCGTCCCTATCTGCTATGGTAAGTGGTCTCATTTCTGGTAATATCTTCATTAATCAGAAAATTTGCCCCGATTATATCATTTTGTACGATACTTGATAAAATTCACATAATTATTATGTATGTGAATTGTATATATGTCCTGGTGTACCCCATAATTTTATCTACTGTTTTAAATATTGTTTTTTGATACCTAACCTCAAATTTCTAATGTTTTAGTATCTTGCAAAAATGTAGAAGTGGATTTATCTAATTATTGGCCTAATAGCCCAACAATAAACGTCTTTCAAAAGTACATTACCCTCTCTGAAGATGTAACAACAGTGAACATTCTGAATATCAATGATGACGTTGGATTCTTAATAATACAAGTACACAGTTATGTCGAAAATATTACACTGTCTTATAATTCTACACTTCAGTTACATTCATTTGTCACTGGGACTAATGTAGGTTTAATTTATGGTTATGGAGAAAGTAGTGCCAATTTTTATATTTTCCGAAATGTGCCGAACAATCAACATGTTTACGATTCATTTCTACTGGTTGTAACGGTTTATGATGCGATGGGTAAGATTTAACAAAAATAACATATCTTTCATTGTCTTAGTTAATTATACTTTTAGATCCTGTACCTGGGGGATGTAATCTAAGCTTTGCGAATATGGTGGCCCCTTATCAAATTGTATCCTCTAACGAAGAATACATAACTGTTGAGAGTCAGCCACCATCGGGTTATGGAGTTTCGTGTGATGATAATAAAATACAAATAGAAATGTACCATCTGTTTATGGGTGAATATGATAAAAGTATAAATGGATATTTCGAGGGAATTACTAAGATGCTTACTGTTGAAAATGTAAGGGCAAACGGAAGAAAAGTGCCATCAAGCGAAGGATATTTCCTCTACAATAAATTATTCAGTTTGTATAGAGGAACTGGCGAAGTGTTTGCTATTTTAGCGACTTTTAACGACAGGACTTCAGCATACGTGCCTGCTGTTTCATATGGATGTGATATGAGGAACTGGGACGGAAGTTGTATTGGTCCAAGTAAGTTTTCCTTATTTAAATATTTATAAATATTAGAGATAATTTTCTATCGAATTATGTTAACGTTTTCTAAAAATTTGTGTGATTATACAGAGAGGACCAATTTCCATATTTATGGGGATATCTTATACTCGAGCAAATAAAAAGTAGGTAGTTAACACGTCTCTGACGCTGATGAAATTGAATGAAGACAACCGTCTCAGTATCTCGATTCCTATAAGACATGCAGGGCATGCAAATTTTTTGTGATTTCGAATAGCTTATATTTATTCATAAACATTTTAGATTCTTATGACATTTTTTACAGTTTTCTGTGTTAAATACAGTTTATGCACACAGTATTTTTCAATAACTCAATTTTTTTAATATAACACAAACCCATATCTTTTTAAACAGAGCTCCCTATATATTTTTTGAACATCCCCGTGCCAAAAAAGTAGTTTTTAATTTTTTTTTAAATATCAAACAAGTGACAAATAAAATTAAGTAGACATTTTCTGCTATCAAGAAGGCCCTGAGTAAACAGTTTGTTGATTTTCCCCTGCGGTTGTAACGGGTAGAAAAAGCCACCCATAAGACTTGTTTCATGCGTGACTTTCTTTGTTATTACTAGGTAGGTACCATTTAAAAATTCAATTCATTCTAAATAAATTGTGTAACTTTTTCGTAAAATTAACGATTTTTGAGCAAAATAAATTATTTAAAATGAAATATGTGAAAAAACAAACATTCAACATTTAATATAAATAAAATACAACATACCTTTTTTGTTTAGAATGAATCAGAGTATCTGAAATGAATTTTTAAATGCAACAAGTGTAGTAACAAGAAAAAAAGTTGTGTATGAAACAAGAGTTGGGGGTAACTTTTTCTACCCCTTACAACCGCAAAGGAAAATCAATTATTTATTGAGTGCCTTCTTGAAATGCGGCCTGCGTAATAATAATATTCCGCCTCCTCTCCCGCACAAGTCTCCGACTTCTGGGCTAATTCTCGTAATTAGAATGAGGAGTAGAGATATTATTATTATATTATTATTGATAGCAGAAAATGTTTTACATAATTTAATTTTTTTTCTCTTTTTTGGTAAGTATTTCAGAAAATAACATTAAAAACTACTTTTTTGGCACCATTTTTATGGGGTTGTATCTTCATGGGGGATGTTCAAATGAGATTATTTTATTTACTTAGTTACACCCTGTATAAATCACTTGATTTTTTTTTGCTTGAATATAATGTAGTTATGAGTGAATTTTACACAAATTTAAAGAAATATAAGAGTGTTACAATAAAATGTCACATATTCGACTGAATTTCATGCAAAAAACTATATTAAAAAAACTTTTTTACAAAAATTCATCAAGAATAAAGTATGGCATCATAGATAATGGCTAAAATTGAGAAACACTATGTATCTCTGAAACGACTCAAAACACAAGCAAACTGTACGTGGTGGGACAGTGTTGATAATTTTGGGAGACATTTCATATTTTACAAAGAAATTGGCAAGAAGATGTCTTGGAGTTAATTTTCGGATGGGGAAAACTGCATTTTGCCATCTTGATTTGTTGAACCTTTTTCAGGACTTTGTTTTTTGACCATTTTTTGTGAGGTCAGCAACCTTTTTATTTATGTTTTTATTATTTTTTATTTTAGGCTTCTCTTCAGTATTTTTTTTTAATTCTCCTGATTATTAAGTACTGGCACCATGGATAAATCTCATACCTACCTATCAATAAAAGTATATGATACACTGAGTATAAGATTTTGCTGTTTCTATTTCTTTTTTTTTTTGTATAAATATAATATGTAGGTACAAACCTCCAAGGTATATAGAACTCACAAACATAATGGAGACAAGGTAAATTATTTTTGTGAGTTCTATCTACCCTCAAAGTTTGTTGGTTAGTTTTGTTTACACCCTGAATAAGACACAATACAAAAATAAATTTTATGCAGTTTTCAAAAAATCAAAACATTTACTTCTCGATTTAAATGATATTAAAAAAAAAGTAGTGTCATATCAAATAGAAATTGGCTTATACTGTACAGCTTACGTAGGTATTTTCTTTTACAGTAACACGATACTGGAAATTCATATGTGCTTTGCTCTTAATATTGGGACTGACAATTTGCTTTTATGGCCATAAGTTTTTCAAGTTCACACTATTTGTATTGGGTTTTGCATTTGGTGTGTTGCTGACTTATTTTATCATAACTCTGGACGATCACTTTGACGTGGATGGTAAGTTTAAGAATATTTTTTTTCAACTTTTTTTACAAATACCTACATGTGATAACAGATGTTCTCTTGATGCAAAACAGAACATTATTATTATTCAGGAATATTAAATTAGAAAAAATATGCGTTGTATATTTATTTGATTTTTGATTCCTAAATTATTTTTTGTACATACCTACAGTTTTATTTATTGTCATTATTTGTTTTTGTCTTCAATTTATATTTTTTATATAAAAATTGTTTTGACATTTCATTAAAATTTTAACAAATTTAATACTTTTATTAATTTTCATGAACTTCAGATTTTATAATTGTCCAATAATTGCCCTTTTTAGAGAAAATGGTAACTTCTATAATGATTGGATTTTTATATGGAATAATATGGGTGTTTATTTGGTGGAAATTTGGTGTTCCAGTTTTATCGGTACAACTAAATTTTATACTGAGTGGATTGTTAGTGGCCTCAATTATATTTTATGCTGGTCTTGGTGAGTAGAAATATTTTAGATTAAAATTGTCTAATTAAGTACTAATACTTGATATTTTACAATCTCTACTTTTGAATTTTTTTGATATAAAAATGTAGGTTTGTGTTCTAGATTTTTTTTGTGAGGGTCTAATGACAAAAATAGAACATAGATGCTTACTGTTAATTCAATTTAAAAATGATTAAAATATATTTTGCTTGGTACTAATTTTTTTTGTTATTTGCGGCAAGTGACTATGTTTTCGTATAGAAAAAATTAAATAACCATTTGGTGCAGTTATAATAAAAACCATATACTACTAAAATTACTTTAAAAGGTATTAAGCTAATTAAAATTAATAATAACTAACGATATTGTACGAAACAACTACTCTGTGGACTAAAACCCCGTCCGGCAGTAAAAGTAGTAATCAAACCATTTATTATCAATGAAAAAAACATACTTGACATATTGAAATAATAATTAAATAATATATACTTTCAAATAAATTATCTGTTTTTGTTTCTAATGTCACCTCTATAACAGAGATAAGCTCCAGTAATAATTAATAATTGAGCTGACGTATTTCTGCATTTCATAGACTGCTTTCTCAAGTGGTTTCTTTGTAAAAATTGGATTTAATCCAATTTAAGATGAGGGTCATTTACAAAGTAATTTTTTCTATAGAATCCGCATCCGACCTCAGAATTGCTCCATCACGTCACACTTCCGAGATATCCTAACCTAAAATTGCGAAAAGCCCGTTTTTTCTATATTACATCGCGAAAAAAATTATTTTCCTGAAAACGAGTCTTATCGTCTAAAAGTAGAACCCTTCAAAATACCGTTTTCAAAGTTTAAAAACAATTTTTGTTCTCGGAGATATCATTAAATGAAGTTTAGTACTTTAGCGATTTCATAACACCAGTATCATAATTGAAAAATGTTCTTCGGATAGTCGTAATTTTTCTAGCAGAAACATTTAAATTTGTTCCCTTTAATTTCGATTTCTATTTAGCATGAAAATTTGAGTTTTAATTTCGATTAGAAACAACTTTGTACATAGCGTTCCAATCAAAAACTATCATAGATTTATGCTGTCAGAACAAGAGTGTTTAACTAAATTAACTACCTCTAACCAAAAGGGCAAATGGCAAATAAAAATTCCGTATCACACTTTTTTTTTCTTTCTTAATTAAATTTAGTATGCCGGCATTTATGTAGGATGTCACTTTTAACATAATTAGCAAATATAGGCCCTTATTATTTTTAAAATTTTCAGAAATGACCACTATTTTTAATAACAAATAAAATTACAATTATTTTATATTTGTAAATTACTTTTCGGATGAATTCGACCTCATTTAATTTAGTGATAATAAAAAGGATGATCATTTTCAATAATTTTGTTATTTTATAAATAATTCAATCAGATTTATATCTAGACTGCGTTGGCGACGATTATATAGCTATCTAATCTTGGTCTAATTTTTGTTATCGATTTTCGGTTTAAATAACTCATATTACGTTGATAAAAATGTGAAAAAACTTTTGATTCACCAACGGTGACCAAAAATGAAACCTCGTATTCTTTGTTGAATTTTAAGGGAGTTTTTCATATAAAGTTTTTATCTAGGACGCTTCGTTAAAAAGATACAGGGTGTTAAATTGCAAAAAATATTTTTAATTTTTTTAAAAATTTAAAAACTAGTAAGTGATATAATTTGAAATTGGGCACATGTATTTATGTAAACATTGTCGAGATTTTAAGGCCTTCTCCTAAAATTTAGATGCTCCAGTGGCGGAGATACAGGGTGTCGGTGGAATATTTTTCTAAATAAAATAGTACGCCACTGCTTTACGGTAACAACCATGAAATTTTCGTATTCGTCTTTCAATTTTCTTATTCGTCTTTCAATTTTCACTAGTTTTTAAATTATTTAAAAAAATTAAAAATATTTTTTAACGAAGTGTCCTAGAAAAAAAATTTATACGAAAATTCACGAAAAAATATGAGGTGTCATTTTTGGTCATCGTTTCTGAATCACCCTGTAAATTTCAAAGTAAAAAAAAATACTTATAGAGGTATTACTACTACTACTAAGCATGTCATACTGTAGTATAGTTTTGTATTCATTTCTCTAAAAGTCATCTTCAGTTCATCTAACTGTCATTGTGGATTTGTTTATATTAAGAAATTCCCATGTTTCATCTAAAAGAAATGAATTCTGGCTTATACTTGATAATTTTTTAAAACATAACTTAACTCTGTTCCTCGCTCTGTTCATGACATATTGATATCATCACAGCCACCCTACCCTAGGGAGAAACATTCTTTTAAATTTAATTTTCATTTTGTCGGTGTTAGATTTTTTAACATACTATCACTTCCGCTTTATTATTCATCACTAAATTATGTCAGCAACCCACAGTCAAATTTCTTTACATAAGTACGTTAAAACGTATTTTTTATACATTCAAGTGTAATTTTTATATACATACAGGGTGTCCCAGAATATGTGGGCAATCTCTCGGATTTATACGGGGAACGTTAAAATAACATAACAAGTTTCTATAAAAATCCCTAGAGGAGCCCCCCCTACAAAGATGCAGGCCCCTAAAATCGATTTTTTTAAAAACTTAAAATACCTTGTGCGATTTAAATTTTTAGTAAGAAACAAATATAAATAAAAGTGGCGTTTTTTGGATAGGCGCAGAAAGAATGCAAATTTATTTCTTTTTACAAATATAATAAAAATCATATTAAAATAAAATAGTTTTTTCTCGAAGACTTCGTTTTGTCGATATCAACCAAGAGTGCTTTTTTTAAATTTAAGTTTAAAGCTCTAAAAATATTACAGCTAGTCCATCCCTGGCAAACCAAATAAGCCAATTTGTTTTCATGGGTCAATTTTTAAGGAGTCTTATCTGTTGTCCATCATATTAAATAATTAAATTACATACAGTATTTTAAAAGTCGATTTTCATGGGCGTCCTTTAGGGGCCTGTACCTTTGTAGGGGGACCTCTAGGGAAAATTTTTATAGGGACTTGTCATGTTATTTTAACGTCCCCTATATAGATCCGAGAGATTGCCTACATATTCTGGGACACCCTGTGTATGCCATATTTGGTATACTTATAATCCATTTACGGTAAGTTTGCAATTACTTTACAGTGGGAAATGGCACAGTGTTGCCAAGTTGTAAAAATAATTTTTTTTAAATATCTTAAAAAATATATTTTTGACAGCGAATCTACGAGTAGTTTATTAGAAATGTAACCTGGAAACACATTATGTAGTCCATTTAAATAATTTAGGAAACAGTCAAATATTTAATTTTCATTTAGAATTATTTAAAATGATCCGCAATGTTATCAGACATAACCTAACATTTTTCACATAAATTTTAAATTAATATTGTTGATAATATTTAAAATGCAGTTCATAATTGGTGTAACAATTACAACTTACGTCTCCTACAGCACCAAGTGGAAAAAGTAGCCCTCCATTTTCACGTTCCTGTTTAAAGTAGTCTATTAAACACCCCGCCATTGCTTGAGCACGATTCGATAAAGGTTTCGGCATGTTAAAGCGTTGCATACACACCGTTAATTTATTACTACTAAAATTTGGTTCCAATACAGAAAAATCTCACCGAGCGCCATCGAACGTAATAAAACGTCAATATGTTATACAGGGTGTAACGGATGCTGATGGCCAAACTTCAGGGGGTTATTATACAAGTAATTTTCAACAAAAAAGTATTATAAGATTTTTTTGGAAAGTTAATAGTTGCTCTTTTATTTAACATTTTTTGATTTCAAAAAATTTTGTGCCTTTTTTCATAAAAACAAAAATATTTCTGTTATTCTTACAGACACATCAAATTTAGACATGCCATCGGAAAGAGCGTTACATTTACTACAAGACGAG